CCCTTTCCTCGGAATCGGTGGAGTCTCAATTTTCAATTCAACGAGAGAGAAACTCTAGAGAGTGTTGGCTGTCGCGAGAAACTGAGAAAAGGCAGTGCAAACACCGTTGAATGTACCACATTTGACGAACAAATGCACTTGCGCGGAATAAAATTCTTTAATTTTGAGACTTCAATTTTTTGGCTCATTTCGCTTTTCTATGGAGGTTATTCATGATTTGTTTTTCTGAACACTAAAAACAATTTTTCGCATGGACCAACAAGTGAAAAAACATTCTTTATGTCATGAATAAGCTCATTCGTAATATTTCTCTGATTTTAGTCGTCTTAAAAAAAAACATTCAGGTAATAACTTCCTACACAGGAATCGAAGATCGACACAGATGTCCAGCAAAGAAAGTAGTAAAAATTAGAAAAGTAATATGTGGCGATTCGCAATCTACACACAGAAAACAACGTAGGTTTTCTAGAAGCAGAAAGTTTTCAAAAATTATATTTTTCAGAATACTCAGCAAAACATGTATGAAAACAGTGAAACAGGCGTTGAAGCATACTGATGGTAGATCGGATTATTTTAGATTGTGGGTTTTCATTTCAGCGACATTAATCTCAAAAATGAATTCAGCTTGAGCAATGATGCAGCAGCTTCAATTAGACCAGAAAAGGAACATTCCATTACAGAAGTGTAAGTGTTTCACCGAATGCATCATGATCTGAGTGTCATTTTTCGTTTCAGGCTGTCCCTCGACGACTTTGGGCTGCTCTCCAGCAATAGGTCTCAATCCATTGAGTCTATGAGTTCTACTGGCGACACATTCTTAGAGCATCTCTTCAGGAACGATACTCTGAATGCTTTTTCAAATGTTCAAATCCCAACCACTATGTCAACCCGCGAGCTTGGTGGTTCTAGTGATGTTTTTGGATACGACTACGTTTCGGAACTTTTGTCGGAAGGTGCCATTCCCGAGGAGATTGCTGAAGATCTTGCAATGGAACCATCAACTTCTGAAACGGAAATTACGTCATATTTTGCTGATTCTGCACGCTACCATAATGACCAAGAACCGGGCACCTCTGGTTTGGAAGTCACATCTCTTCCATTCCTTATTCCGAATCTTGATGACCATGTTCTTGAGGAAAACGATAAGAAAGCCACCAGAATATTGATATCGGAAAAGCTGCGTCGAGAAAGAAAACTGAATCTGTCAACAACAGCACCCTTGGAATCTCCAGAAGATACCGTAACTCCGCTATTTCACTCTCCCATGACATCAGGAATTCCCAATTTTGGCGAAATGCTCTTTCCTGATAACATCCCCATGGAATCTTACACGAGCCAATGGAAAGATGGCGAAGCTCCAGAAGTGATTTCCACGAAAGCTTATTCAAACAACTTTCCCACTCTCGATGCTCCTACGGAATTTTCATTAGATGTTTTGGAAGGCATCATGACAGAAGGTTCGATGGCAGAGCTACTTGAAGAACTCAGAACCTTTGAACGTTGGCCAGAATGGATTTTTACTGGAGATCGGAGGACACTCACTAGAGCCAACGGAGTTCTTCGTTATGTTGTTCAAAACAGTTTAGATCTTAATGAAGCGAAGGAAGTACTTTATAACTTGTAAGTGAAAAGAGAATTTTAGCCAAATCATACTCAGATTACAACGATTTATTTCAGCACTTCTTCTCATATTCGAGCAGTGGTTCCCGACGATGTCCTCCTTCATTTTACTGTAAAATCAATAAACTCTTCTTCCAACGTAGCGGAAATTGCTTCCCAGTTGGAGGATTCGAATAGAATTGCTTTGTCTCGTGAATTAAGACCGGACCGTTCACTTGTAGAAGCACAGCTAATTGATTTGTACACAGCAGCGATCAAGAAATGCCCAAAAACCTCATCGACATTGTTAGCTCTTTGTTCCAAGTTGAACTTCGATCGTTCCGCTGAAATTTTCATGAAATGCTATGGAGAAGTACAAGCATTTGCTGGAAACTTTCTGACATCGTTTGACGGATGGAAGAAGCTATCGACAAAGTATGGAACTCAAAAAGGAATTGAAAACTACTGGACAGCTGCATTGGACAGTGAAGGTTCGATGGAAAAACGTGTCGAGGCACTTCTCGTGTACTCAGCGAAGACTGAGCATCCATTTTCCACGATGGCTCGAATGATCTGCACTTTCGTAAAACTCGACCAACTCGACAAAGGACTTGAAGTATTTCAAGCTGTTTCAGTTTCTGGTAAACATTTCATGGAGTCACTTGCTGCATTCGTTAGACAGGTATTGAAAAAAAATACAGTAATTTAAAATTCATAATCTACGTTTCAGAAAGATTTGGATTCTATCGAACGTTTGGCGACACTCATCGAGAGAGGAATGATCGCGGAGAGACGCCGAGGCGGCCGGCAGCAGGCAGTCAACAAAAGCGAAATAGAGGGAGAGGTGAGTTATGCGCTGCGTGGTCTCGGGGGTTAGGGCGGCAAGCGGAGGCGAGAGGTTGTGTGTTCAATCCCTCTGGCGTCGTTCAAAGCAGTCGTTCAGTGACGCAAGCGATTTTTCAATGCGTTTGTGCCTAATCTTTGACTGCAAGAGAATCATTGTCATAGTCAAGCGGTCCGCTATCTGTGTAGCATTCTGTTCAAGATTTGACTTACATTTTAAAATTTTCCAGAAAAAGCTGTTGCTAAGCGAGAACGTTCATGCAGCCCTTGCGAAGTTCTATGGAGTGAGTGGTCATAAGAAATCCAAGTTTGTCGATAAGAAGCTCAAGAAAAAGATCCATCGCGTCGACGAAGCACAACTTCATGACTTGTGCAAATCCATTCAAAAGGCATGGATTCAATGTGCCGATAACAAAGAATCTGTTGATCGTCTTGTAGCCTGGTGTCAATCAAATCGTGTCGAAATTGATGATAAACTCCAGAAGAAAATTTCTTCTTTCTCTGAATAGTTATTCTTGTTAGTAGTATATTTAGGTTTCTAGTTTTTTCCCCTTTCTCGTTATCGTTTTCTTCCTTACTCTTGTTGTACTTGTTTTTTCTCTGTGCCTTCGCTCACTTTTTGTAATTATAACCGAAGTATTCGAATGAAACTATTTTTTTTGAAATCAAGAATCTGGTGTAATTTTTTACTTGTCGGTTGCGTTCTTTCGCTACTTATCTCCAGAAAAAGACTTTGAAACTTTCGATAGAAACGTTCTACTCTTTAGATGCTCGGGTTTGGTAGGAACGGTTTACGACTGGTTGGTCGCCGTGGATTATCATCAGCTGTTACCCAGGTACCCGAAAGCAGAATCAAACTTTCTTACGATAATATTCTCAGACGTCTACTACGACTGCCACTCCGCCACCTCAACAGCAGCAACAGCAAAATCAATCAGGAGATGCTCGAAAAAGTTTCAGCAAGCAGAATAACCGACCGTTTGCCACTGCGACATCGTCAGAACAAATCAAATTGCAGAAGAAATATCAAGGAAACATAGAAAGCAACAAGTTGGAAACCCTACATGACGCTATTGAATAGTAAGGGACAGATAAGCATTTGTCTACTGAACTGTAATTTTCAGCATTGAATGGCGAGGTACTGTATTCCCACAAACGGTTTCCAAAATCATTGGGCTCCTCGATAAATCTGGAGAGCTTTCTGCTCTTTCCGATCGCCAACTGGCAGTTATTCTCTCGGTATTCGGAGCAACATGCGATACATTGTCTCGTTCTCTTCGCGCTCAAAATTTGGAAAAAGTTGAAACCATTCTTCGAGAGAAAGGAGTTGTTTTGGGATTGCTGTCTCGCAACCAACTCATTGAAGCGAAAGTCGACAATCGTAGTCAGGTGGATGCTGTTGAGGAGCTCGGAAAGTTTGAGGAATCCGACGTTGAACTTGATTCCAAATCGTACGTTCTTCTCTGCGAAGTCTATGCGAAACAAGCAAATACAAAAGCAATCACTGATATCATCGCTCACATGAAATCAACAGGAATCCCGTTGACAGAAGATCATGTTGCTCAACTAGTTTATTCAGTAGCAAGAGGTGGTAGTTATGGACTAGTCGGGAGAGTGATGGATACATTTGCCACTTCAATGAATGTGGTTCGCCTGAGATGTGCAGCGGCAAGAGCAATCGCTGAACGAGAGAAGACGGAACCAGGAAAAGGAGGTTCTGAAATTATCGAGATGCTCAGAGCGATTCCAACGACAGCTAAACTTCATTCGCTCGAAAACAGCAAATACGTCGTCAATGTTCTAATGGATCTCATCGAAAATGGGCAACTCGACGCATTCAATCTTCTCTCCTCATATCTCATTGTAGCTGAAACTGGATCCACTCTTGATGACAACATCCTTAATTTGCCGGTTGTGGCTCGTGCTAAAAGTCTGCTCAGTGAAGGAAGTTTAGAACAAGCGATCGCTCTGTATTCATGCGTTCATTCCTCATATTCCAATGAGTTTGTATTTTTTTTCTAATTCATCGTTCTATTTCATTTTTTTTAGCTTCTTCGTCCAAAAACTGAATCGTCAACTTGAAGATGGTCTCAAATCAATCAGTGCTTCAGAAGCTCTTCAAAATCATTTCAAAATAGTCACTTTGGCCGAGAACAAGGGTTTACTTCCATCTGCAAATGAGTTCCTTCTCACGACTTGTGCCAGAAGCCCAGTTCCTTTATTTGGAGAAGTTTTCGAACATGTTCAACAGGCAGGAGACGTCAGAACTATCCTTGGTCAAAATCCAACAATCAAAAAGCAACTGGGTCGTCAACTAGCTCAACAACTCATAAAAACAGTATCCCCTTCGGAACAAGCTGCAATTGTCGCTAAAATTGCCACTGTTATGTTTGCTCCGTCCACAAAAGAAGTTCCTGGAGATACTCGTGACTTCTATAAGATAATGTATAGAGTAGTTGGAAAAGGTGATTTTTCATCATGTAGTACTGTAATTCAATCTTGTTTGTTTCAGACGTCAAACTAGTTCTTCCTGCTCTTGATCTGATGACAAATGCCGTCTGGCACGAGAAGCGCGAGTTCGGAACCAGCATCGTTCATCAATTGCTCTATTCAGACAGAGAAGATCACTTGGCAGCGGAAAAACTTCGCATATTGTTAGAATCCAACAAACTCGGTCAACTCACTCTCTACCGTCTCCATGGAATGCTCACCAAATTTTTGATGGCTGACAAAGAAAAACGTGTAAAGTTGACTGCTAAATTGCTTGCACTCGACTTCCCACCAGAAACTGCATCGAAAGTTCCACTGAAATTCGGAGGAAAGAACCTTGCCAATTTTCTTTCAAATGAAATCATCTCACTCGATATTGCCACAAAAATTGTTCAATTTCTTGAAGATGAACCTCGTGTGCAATTGACGAATGAAGAGCTTAAAGAAGCACAAGGAATTCTAAAGTCAACTCCACAGAAAGCTGAGTTACTCAAAAAACTGAGAAAAAGTGCTACAATGCAAAGATGGAGAGCCAGTAGTGTATCTGAGTTGCTCAAAGAGCTGGCGAATTTCACAGAGAACACCAAGGAAGCCGTGAAAATTTCTTTGAAGAAGGTCATTGTTCAGAAAGTCATAAAAGAGTCATCAGACGATCTGGACTATCTTGTCGGATTTTTGGAGCACATTGTTGAGTGGAGAAAAGAAAAATATCCAGATTATTTGAAGACGTTGTTCCAAACAGTTGAAGCCGTCGCTCTATCCAAAGCTGTCTCTACCAACAACATGGTTCTTGCTGATCGTATTTGGCAAATGAGATCTGGTCATCCATCAGCAGACGTTCTTCTTTCATATGCATCACGTCTATTTGTTAATAAAGAAGTCGAGCGAGCCGATGAAGTGTGTGAAGAGTTGAGAGCCAGTTCCCAAATTATCAGACCACAAACGCTAGAAAAAATGGGACGACGACTCAAAGGAGCTGATACTGAACAAATGACAAAGTTGGCTGATTATTTAAAGAAGAGTTTTAACCTGAAGGAAAAGGACGCCCGGCGAGTTGTACTACAAGCCAAGAGCGATCAGTTGAACCAACTTATTGAAAAGTGAGCGAAATTTGTAATAGTAAACACGATTTTTTGATTTTTTTTTCCTTCAGAGACGATTTGGCTGGAGCTCTTCGAATGGCTATTGAGGAGACGAACTCGAGTAAGCGAGCATTTGGACAAGTACCAATTATGATCGAAGCGATAAAAAGGAATGATCGAAAAACGTTGGAAAGTGTGCACACAATGGTTCGCTCCGCACACAACGTTGATATGGCGAATGTTAATCTTGCCTATGCGCTGATTCATTCTGACAACGTCAATCGGGCTCTCAGTCTCGTCGAACGCCAGAATCTCACTATTGAGCGGCCAGTTTTGCAATACTTCACTACGTTAGCGTCTGCATCGGATAATCCAAAATTGTTGAGAGATCTTTTCATTGTGTTTAATGGGCGTGCGTCTACATTGGATCTCAACAATCTTCTGGAGCTCGCCACCAAGAAGTTGTGTAAGTTCCAAAAATCAATTTTTCAGATGGAAATTTAAGATGGTTTATTTGTTTTAGGGAGCAGCAATGACATTGATTCGTTGATGAAATTATCCCATGAGATCGAGTCGACTTCTTTCCCTCTTCAAAATCAACTTCGCACATTCTTCGACGATCTTAAACAGAAACACTCCTCCTCCCAATCGTCAGTCGATTTCGACTGAACCGTTTAGTCATTCAATCTTAAAACGGGCAGCATTTGATATAATCAAGTAGTAATTGATAAGAAATTTGTTTTTTACTTTCTTGGTTCTGTTTGTTAATTTTCTGAAGTAGGAATTTAGGATAAATATTAGGTCCGTTGTTTTCTTGTTTCTTTGCAATGTTTTTTTTTGGTTTTTTGCCATTCAATATAAATTTAAAGTTTGATTATTTAATAAACTTCAATAATAACATCTGTTCATGATCCTCTACCGATACTTCCAGATCTTATTAGAGAAATTAACTTCCCGAATACTTTCCAGAATGTTCCGAAGTGTCGTCGTCGCAAGAATAGCAAAACAGGCTATTGAAAATGTCACAGAACGGAAAAATGTAAAATAAATCGGAAACTAAAACTTTTTTGAAAAATTTAAAAATTCAGGCAATCACCAAAATCCAAAATATCATCAGAAACAGTCTGACAGAGTTTGATAAAAGTGTCGAGGAATACAAAGTTTATCGGCTAGTCTTCCTATTATTCTAGTACGAAAAATCGGAGCTGTGGAAGTCTCAAAACGACAACTACCGTAACCTAAAATTATTTATATTTTCCGGTTTTTTTTCGATTTTTGTCCGTTTTCAGTCAGAAATCCTAATTTTCATTGGGAAAAATAACAGAGAACTTGATGAGAAGCAGTGAAAATCGAAAAAAAACTGATAAGTATTGTAGGTTACGGTAGTTGTCGTGTTGGGACCTTCGGCCACGGCCAAAGGCGTTTCTCCTCCAGAGTGCCGATTTTTTTGCTCCAGAAAAATATTAGATTTTGAGAAAAATTTAATTTTCAGAGAGACTCATGATACTCCCGATTGGGGAGTTGTTCGAATGAGTAGTATTGCAATGGCTAATCATCATTTTGAAGAAGCCGAATTGTTTCTAAAACAACAAATGGAGGAATACGGTGGTGCAGCTCGGAGGCAAGCTCGCAATGTGGATGTTACTGATGAACAGATTTGCGCATCAATGGAACGAATTCTTCGGAAACCGGATGCTTTGGAATCCGCTTTCAAGTTTTTCGATTTTCTTCGAAAATATAAATTCTGCACGACTCGAGATGTTTTTGTCAAAGTTCTTATTGAAAGCACAGTTGAAAAGTTAGTTGAAATTATTTTGAAGCCATCTTTTCATCTTTCTGATTTCCAGGTGTGGCTGGAAAGAAGGGTTGAGTCGCCTAAACAAAATAATGAGCGAGGATAAAAGAGCGAAAAGTATGAAAATGAGTTTATTCTTCATTCTAGAGGACGCCTGGAAAGCTGGTGAAGCTGATCAAGGTAAGCGAAATCTGATCAATGATTTCAAAAATAAATTTCTATTCTTTTATAGCGGAATCAATAGTATCAGAAATGGGAAATGTGAAGCCATCTACTCTACGTTCGATTCAACTTTTCATCAGATTCAATGAGTTGCCACGGCTGGAAGCAGCTGATTACTGCAAGGTAGAATTTCGAAGAAACCCAGTGTTATTCGATGACCGTGGACGAAGGTCCCACAACGACAGCTACCGTAACCTAAAATATTTTCATTTTCCTTTTGTGTTTTCTCAATTTTCGTGCATTTTTCGGCAATTTTTTAGAATCAGAAAACTTTTATTTCCCGACTTGTCGACGAAAACCAATGAACGTTTATTGATGTAAACAACGAAAAAATTAATCCTGAAAAGAAAATATTTTTAGGCTACGGTAGTTGTTGCTGTGGGACCTCCAGCCACAGCCATCGGCGCTTCTCTTCTACAGCTCCAGCTTGAATAATAGCCATTAATCTTTATCCTTTCAGCGAAATTCAATAAAATTATCTCACGAAGATGTTGCTTTCTTTGTGGAGATGTCTGGTAAATTGAAATATGTGAGTTTTGCAATAGAATTATTTTTGAAATTCTTAGTTTTTCAGCCCATGCCTCTTCTTCGACTACTCGAAGTTCATGAGTTCGTCCCAATCCCAAAAACAAGCTTTTACTCTATCTTCGAGGAACTTATCAAACTAGCCGGTCAGCATTAGCACGGAAATCATCTTTATTTACAAATGTTATTTTGCAGGGAAATCTGAAAAATGCGAAATCCTAGAAGAGATGATGTGGAAAGTGAAAAAGAGTCGAGAAGTCAGTGATGCTGAAAAGTCGATTTTATATGGAAAGATTCGGCATTTTTATAAGTGTCTGAATGTGAAAGCGCCGGAAAAGTTGCATTATTTAATAAGAGCTGATAACAATTAGATTGTTTCATTGTTTTTTGTTTTCCTTGTTAATATAAACCTTACAAAACCATCTTCTATCCCGTTTTCGCAACTGTGACAAACTTGTAACAACTAGTACACAATAAAAAAACCTCACGTACTAGTCGACCATCGGTCGTTTCCATAATGATGATCTCGATCCTAACAGAGAAATAGTATGGGTCACGAGGAGACATTTCGAACATCCGATTACCGTATGAGGCGGGCAGGATGATTCAGAGGAGAGGGTTTGGGATGTCGAACGATTTTGAAATAAAAATGATTATTGAGGCATACAACAATTTATGTGTGGTTGTTCATTCGTCACTGTTGCAGTGGTCGTCATGCTCGGCGTTTCAACTGTTCTCATCACCGCACTGATTCTTGTCTCGAGAGTTGCCACGTTCCGAGATCAATCAGTTGCAATTCAAGGTGGGATTATGTCATTAGAAGCTTTACTAGAATATAAGATAGTTGTACATTTTTTGTTTGAACCTTTTGTAGATACCGTACTCCCTCTGATAGAAGCCCACCAAAACCGTCAACTTTGAGCTCATTTATCTTGTTTCCTGTGAAGGAAATCGAAATATGTCAACTGATAAATGGCGTTTCATAATATAAGAAGGAGCGATTTTCGAAATTTTCAATTTTCATCCCGAATCACTTCGATTCCCATTGTTTCTGATTATCTGCAAAGTATACTTGGATCTCCTAAATTTTGCGTTTTTGTGTCTCGAAAGCCTATCAAAGAACAATATGTCTTTTCACGGTGACCAACGAGGAAACCACCAAATCGATTTCGACGAGTTCTGTGTGGTTATGACAAGACTCACCATGAAAAAAAGCAACTGGAATGAGGTCGTCAAGGAGTGTTTCACAGTTTTTGATAGAGTAAGTTAATCAATTGATAGAGTTTTTTGGAGATTCAAATTTAGTCAAAAGTTTTAAGTTTTGAAGTTCCGTTTTTCCTTTGATAGGAGCCCACCCAAATTGCCAACTTTGAGCCCATATACCTCATTTCCAGTAAAAAATAACAAAAAGTGGCCAACTGACAAAATGTTCAACATATTCAAAAATATTTTTTCAGTTGCCAAAATTTCAATGTCTCTCATATGAAC